TTGGTTTAGATTGGTTTGGTTACTTTTTGTTTTAACTGTTGGCATATCAACCTCAATGCCAAAGAGGTTACTTTTAATGCCAACAACAAATTTTTAGAAAAGGATAGATTCGTACAAATTTAGAATGAAAATGAAATTCTTTGGTTAAAGAAAAAAAAAATTGGTTTGGTTTATTTTGTTTTACGGCATGATTCTACAGACAGAACAAGAGATTTTTTATTTAATGAACAACAACAAAATTTTACAGTTCTGGGAAAAATATTTTTTTTGAAAATAACATGGGTGTTACTATAATACAGAATTTCCTTCCAAAATTATATTGATGGTTGAATAAGCTTTTTTCAAAACATCGAATTTCTGGTAACGAGTTAAGTCTCGTTCGGGGAGGTTACCAACAAACGGGTTCTACGGGGGTATTTTTTTGCCGAGCCCAACCTCAAAATTACGTTAAAACTCTACAATGCAGCGACCTTCGGCAAAATAATTCTGTGCAGAGAGGAACCCGGACGAGGCCCGCCGAAGGGCAGAGTCTCGTGCGGGGAAATTACGGTTTCTACGGGCATTTTTTGGCAGAGCCATTTCGGGAAACCCACAAATCTCAACGAAGCAATATATGTGGGGTGCAAGATACCGAATCAGTCGGGTCGATAGAAAAAAATTAAACATCAAACCTTCCACATAAAAAAAGTTATTTCAGAGTCTCACAGACTTGAAGGTCCTAACCTTAACAAAAAGAAAAATTAGCAAGAAAAAAATTAATCCCGAACAAACATGGGGGAACAGATTTGAATGTCAACTAAGAAAAGCAGCCAAATGAATTATAAATAAAATTGATAAACTGGCAAAAGGAACAAAGAAATCAAGAACTGGAAATCCCACTAAGAAGATTAAAAAAAAAAAATTCAAAATTACCCAAGAATGAAAATAAATGTCAAAAAAGTACAGACCAAAAGAAATAAATAAAATCAAATCTATTTTGACATCACAGGCAAGGCTTCTAAAAAAAAAAATCTTGAACAAAAAGGATGTAAAAAAAGATCAATTATTAATTAATAGGATTCTTGAAAACAGCTTCAAACAAGACAAAATCTTTACTGCCTGGAAATTAGATAAGGCAAAATTGTAACGCATTCCAATCTTAAACTTTAAAAGTGTGAAAGCTATCATTCGTCGTCATCAATTTCATCAGGGAAATGTATGTTGATATGAAAAAAGAACAATTAAATCAGTTAACAAAGTCTATAAGACTGGAAAAAACATGGGGTGGAATATTTCAAGTTGAACCTTTGAACCAGAACAAACATTAAGCAGAAAGTTTAAGAAGAGGAATTTGAATCCCAAAAGAAAATAAAAAAAATAATACAACTGGAAAATCTCCAGGAACAGATACAATTCCTACCTTTTATTTCTATTATCTAAATAAACAAATAAACTAGCCAAAGAACATCACGAAATGGTAAATGATCCTACCAAAATTCCGGCGTAGGTAAGCAATGGAATTACCTTCCTTCTACCCTAGAATGGTGACACAAATGTCCCAAAATAAAAACTACAGACCAATTACATGTCTTCCCACTACTTACAAACTGTTGACATCTATTTTGACACAACAGACATATTCTTTCTTAGAAAAAAATGACATTCTACCTCTTTGATAAAAAGGGAGCAAGCGTGGCTCTTACGAATGTAAAGACCACTTATTTATTAATAAGATGATCTTTGAAAATATGCTTTGATATGAAAAAATCTCAGTACTGCTTATATAGATTACCGTCAGTCATTCAATAATATAACCAATTTCTGGATCTTAAAATCTTTAAATATATACAAGATATTACCCGTCGTCATCAATTTCATCAAACAAAGTATGTCGATATGGAAAACTTTACTTCAACTCAATCATATGAATAAAGTTTGTATGTCTGGTGAAATAAGCATTAACAGAAGAATATTTCAAGGTGACTCTTTGCCTCTCTTACTATATTGTTTATCCTTAATAGCATTAACCAGCGAACTTAACAGGGCGCGATATGGTTATAAGATATCTCAAAAGAAAATAAGCCATCTGTTTTACATGGATGACTTAAAGGTGTATGCTAGGAATGACAGCGAGCTAAAAGTTCTCCTGAAAGTAGTAAAAGGTTTCAGTGATGACATTGGAATAGAATTCGGTTTGGATAAATGTGCTAAAGCTACAATCTTATGAGGATCCCTACAACAAGCTTCTTCTATTAGCTAAGACCCTGGGGTAACAATCACAGATTTAGAGCAAGAAGAAGCTTATAAATTCTTCGGTGAAAATGAGGTGAATGAACAGAACCTGAAAGGGAATCAGAACAACACGAAAACAGAAAGAAAAAAATATTCAATCACGAAAGAAAGTTGTAAATACAAACGAGATTTACATTTTGTAGATTCTATAGAAAACCAAAACAGAACCGAAGATTGTACTGTTTTAGCAAAACAATATGTAAAAGAAAGCCAAGAATAACGCTCTTGAACAGAAGTAGCAACGCTGGTAAGACAAACCTCTGCATGACCAATATCCAGAACGTGCTGATAAAACAGATTTGGATTAAATGCTGAAACAGGACGCTTTATACTTACAGTGAGCTGGAAGGTCTCCTGAAAACAGTAAAATGTTTCAGAGATGACATTGGAATGGAATTCGGTTTGGATAAATGTGCTAAAGCCACAATCTTACGAGAATCGCTACAACAAACTTCCTCTATTAGCTTAGGTCCTAGGGTAACAATCACAGATTTAGAACAAGAAGATCCTTATAAGTAAGTGTAAATGAGAGTAAAGAAATTCACCATAAAAATAAATAAAATAGAGTTTTATACAAAGGATGCGACAAATATTTAGAACTAAATTAAATTTTCAGAACAGAATTATGACCATTAAGCGCTTGCCATTCAAGTGGTTTAATATAGTTTTAACATCTGGACTCTAAATGATATCAGACGAATGGATTCTAAGACAAGAATTCTTCTTTCTAAGCATAACATGAATCATCCTCTGGATGATGTATTCTGTCTATGCATAGCACGTAAATAAGGTGGAATTGGTCTTATTAACCTAGAATCGTCATACAATACAACAACAATTGGCTTACTTACATACGTGGAAACAACAAAGCATTGGATTAGTCAAACAACACGAAAATACAATGAAAAATATCCAAACATGAAAGAAGATTGTAAATACATACGAGATTTACATTTCGTAGATTCTGTAGAAAACCAAAACAGAACACAAGAACAAACTATTGCCGCAAAAATTATATGAAAGAAAGCCAAGGATAAAGTTCTTGAACAGATGAAACAACGCTGACAATGCAAACCTCGACATGGCCAATATCCAGAACGAGGCTAATAAAACGGATGTTGGTAAAGTTAACACTCATCGATGGTTACGAACTTCTGGATTAAAGGCTGAAAAGGAAGGCTTTATTCTTGCAGTGCAAGACCAGAATCGTTTCATTAGAAACTTTCAGGCAAATATCATACATACTAGTGCGGATCCAAAATGCAGGTTCTGTAGCAAATATCAGGAAACCATAGATCATCTAATCTCAGGATTTCCTATACTTGCGCCAAATGAAAATAAAAATCATCATGATAGAGTGGGGCAAACACTTTGGAAAAGATGTTAACAACCCAGCACCGGTTACAGAAATAGAAGACAACACAATTCTATGGGATTTACACCATCTTTACAGATAGGAAGATTGGGGCAAATAGGCCGAACATACCTATCAAAAGCCGAAAAGAAAATCTTTAATAGTAATCGATATGGCTGAAAATGTGAAATGTGTATACTTTCAGATGAGATCCGTCCTTTTCTTCTACCAGTTTATTTACATCTAGAACGCGTCTTGCTACTTCCACGGAGTTGAATCAGCCACATTTCCCCCATATCCAAATTTAAAGAGAAAGCGCCACTCAGAGAGATTTGCCAACTAACTGCCGCTTTATAGGGCAAACGTTTCCCTAAACCCTAAATTTTCAATATCTTCTTGCCAAGTTAGTTATCCTTCTTATCCTCACAGAACTACATCTTTCATCCATATCACGAACCTCATTCATCAATGAGATTTAACAGCAGCCCTCTACATTGAGTGGCTTTCGAGCTTTATATACGGTGAATTGTACTATAAAAAGAGAATATATGAGGGTGGCGAGAAAGAGTAAGAGAGAGAGAGAATAGGTGAATGATAGTATACGAGAGTGGGGGGGATAAAGAGAAAGAGAAAGAAAGGAAGAAAGGAGTCACACATTTCACAAGTCTATATATTTACAAGCCATAAAATTATTCATCAAAGACAACCCCATCCATGCGTCCATTCAAAGAATTCATGATTTATTTGTCTTGATCAAAACTTCTCAAAAGCCATTAATTTCACGCTAATCGATTATTTTATAATATAAAACGATATTCTTAAATAATAGTAAAAAAAAAAATGGCTGAAATCTTCGTTTCACATCTAACATCAATGGCGTCACTCCCGACTGATAACGTTGGCTATAGTTGGCGCATTTTCTATTGATCTTTTAAAAAGTTGTAACGAAGTCTCAAGATAGTATCTCGTCTCACTGCAGAGCCTTTGAATGGAATCTTTGACCATTATAAAATAAATAAATAAAAATATTAAATATGGACGGAAAATGTGAAAAGAATGTCACACTTGATGTTAAAAAGAATCGGTGACAAACACTTGTTTCTATGTAAGTCATTTAGGATTTATTCCTGCACACAGACACACATGCGCACGCACACACACACATATATACACACACATACATACATAAATATATACATACATACATACATACATAAACACGCACTCTAAAACCCCTCTTCCTTGAATGTACGCACACGAAAAAAAAAATACTTGGAAGTTCATCATACACAGAGAAGCACGCGAAAACAGATATGCTTGCACACACACAGAGACACACGCGCGCATACACACATATAGATAGTTATAAGGTGACTGAGATCGATAGATAGATAGCTAAAGAAGAGACAAAGATAGATAGATAGATAGATAGATAGATAGATAATGAACAGGTTGAGATAGATATGAACAGGCTAAGATAGATAGATAGATAGATAGATAGATAGGTAGGTAGAACAAGAACGCCTAAACATGACATTATAATAACAAAATGGAGATACATTTTGTATACGTCAGTAAACGTTAATTAGTTTTTCGCGGGGACAAAATTACTTTTCGATTAGCCGCATAATTTTTGAAGCTCCTTAAATATATATATATATATATATATATATATATATATATATATATATATATATATATATATATATATATTGTTTTTTTCTACAGGTTAAGTCTGAGATATATTTCATATATACAAAATAAAATGTCATATATATATATATATATATATATATATATATATATAATAAACTATAATTATTTTTTTTACATAATTGATTCCATGACGAAACAGAAATTCCTATGTTACAAAACTGGTCAGCAGTATTTAAGTTTAATTCCAATATTAAACCTTAAACACTGGGTGGCAGTTTCATCTTCAAGCCTTGTTAAATACTGATGACCATTATATAAGCACACACACAAACACGCACAAAAAAACACACACACACACACACATATATATATATATATATATATATATATATATATATATATATATATATCGCATAATTTGCTGGTGACTGCAACTCGATTACGTCTAATGCCATTACCTGATTAATTTTCAAATAATGGTCATTGTGAATATAGTTTTTATTCCTGCTAGAGACTTAATCTCTCTTGAGTAGATGTGGTAGCGTTAGAAACGTACTGAAGGAAATCCCTGCACACGGGCGCATGCGCACGCACAGACAGACGCCAACAATTTGAATATTTAAAGTCTTTTAAAATACAAAGTTTAGATTGGAAATTTAGAAAAAGTGTCATGTATCCAATACTCTTGCATAGGGTAATTTTGAACTTTGATAAAAAAAAAAATGGATTCAACCATGAGTTTTTAATTTTCTTTACACATACAACTAAAACAACTTTACGAGATATTACTTACCAAATATCAGGCAAAATGGCGAACATAAACTAGAATTATAACAGAAAATAACATGTATCCAATACTTATGCGTGTCACTGTATGTATATATAATATATTTATTTATTTATATCAAACATTATTTTAGCATATGTGTGTGTGTCTGTTCGTTTATATATTGAATCGGATTTCCTACATTTTTCAACCGATTTCAACAAAACTTCACAGGACTACGTAAAATTACCTTGCGGTGGTTATGACAGAAAAATTGGAAAAACACAATTGTTTTTGCACGAAATCAATTTGAAAACACGATTACGAGGCATTAATGAAAAGGAGACAACTCATATCGAGTTATACTTATTAATATCGAGTTATCGAGTTGTACTTATTATAAAACCCAGGTTGGTTGTGTGTGTGTGTGTTCGTTTATATACGGGATCGGATTTCCTACATTTTTCAACCGATTTCAACAAAACTTCACTATTTTTTGGCAGGTAGTGTTTCTTATTGTCTTGCACACTTTTTTTTTATTTTTACATTCAGAATGCTTTAAAAATTCCATTTACAAGACAATTGTTTATAATAAAATTCTATTCAATCGGTAGACTCATAACGATTGAAAACAATGTTTTTGTTTGAGTTTGGGTTTGACCAATTCATAAAAAAACAAAAAAAAAACTAATTAAGACATGCGTGTTCGTCAACCTTAAACAATAATCTTTGTCAATTTTATTTTTCAGTCTTTATGATGGTCGATACTTGATCTATCTCGTACTGTTACATCCCCGGGCAACGCCGGGTACTACTGCTAGTTAATATATATTTGGAGGTAAAGTACTTTCTGGTTTTTAAAATGTTATGGAAAAAGCTCATCCGGCGAAAGTGTGTAACAAAGCAGATATATGCCTCAAAATTTTAAAATAAAATGAAGTCTAAAAATGAAACATACTTTTTCCTTAAGCTAAGGCTTATAATAATAATAATAATAATAATAATAATAATAATAAAAACAGAGCTGAAAGCCGTAATAAAGAAGAGGTACATTTAGGTCCTAAAAGGCTTCCATTATATCGAAAAGAACAATGTGGTGCCTGCCCCTGCTATACATAGGTTCCTGAATGAATAAATATTGCTATTATACGTGTTTGTGTAGTCATAGACTGGAACTGTACAAGTCAACAGAGACACGCACCAGATGAGAGTTATTTGTTTAGTGCATTATGGGAAGATATTTTATTTGCTGCCATTTAATACCGTGCAATATGTGTATGTGTGTGTCTTTTTTTTTATCCTTGGTTTTATCTTTAAGATGTCGTCTGTAAGATATGAAAATACACTGGCCGAATTTTCTCTCCATTAAAGTAGGGGAGAAAGAAACGCTCTTTTATTTTTCTCTTTCGCCCAATTCAGTTTTATATCATTGAGAACTGTCGGCCATACTTTCGTTTGCAAAATAGCCTTTCCCCATTCTTTATCATCTCCATTTTCATTATTTGTCTTTCTTTTCAGAACAGTAATTTTTGGTTTTGACTTTTTTCCATTTTTTTTTCTTTTTTGTTTCTTTCCCTCTTTTTCATACAGTTTTTTTTGCAGCTTTTTCTATCAATCTTTTCTGTTCATATTAAATAAATTTAAAAATTTATCTATCTATCTATGTCATTTTGTTCACACACACACACACACACACACACACACACACACACACACACACAATACACTGTATAATATATATATATATATATATATCATTTTGTTTATATATATATATATATCTATGTATGTCATACTGTTCATATATCTCTTTCTCTTTCTCATTCTCTCTCTCTCTATGTATGTCATATCTAACACAATCTGCCCATATCTATCTATCTATCTATCTATCTATCTATCTATCTATCTATCGCATTCTGTTCATTATCTATCTCTATCTATCTATCTATCTATCTATCTATCTATCTATCTATCTATCTGTGTCAATCTTTTCTTATCTATGTAGGACTCGATATTTTCATATCTATCTATCTATCTATCTATCTATCTATCTATCTATGTCAATCTGTTCATATTCATCTATCTATCTATCTATCTATCTATCTATCTATCTATCGCATTCTGCTCATATCTATCTATCTATCTATCTATCTGTGTCAATCTTTTCTTATCTATGTAGGACTCGATATTTTCATAACTATCTATCTATCTATGTCAATCTTTTCATATCTATCTATCTATCTATCTATCTATCTATCTATGTCAATCTTTTCTTATCTATGTAGGACTCGATATTTTCATATCTATCTATCTATCTATCTATCTATCTATCTATCTATCTATCTATCTATCTATGTCAATCTGTTCATATCTATCTATCTATCTATCTATCTATCTATCTATGTCAATCTGTTCATATCTATCTATCTATCTATCAATCTATCTATCTATCTATGTCAATCTGTTCATATCTATCTATCTATCTATCTATCTATCTATCTATCTATCTATCTATGTCAATCTGTTCATATCTATCTATCTATCTATCTATCTATCTATCTATCTATCTATCTATCTGTATCAATCTTTTCTTATCTATGTAGGACTCGATATTTTCATATCTATCTATCTATCTATCTATCTATCTATCTATCTATCTATCTATCTATCTATCTATGTCAATCTGTTCATATCTATCTATCTATCTATCTATCTATCTATCTATCTATCTATCTATCTATGTCAATCTGTTCATATCTATCTATCTATCTATCTATCTATCTATCTATCTAACTAATTTCTTCCACTCATTTGTTTTTCATTCTGATCTGCTTTAATTCACTTTATTCCGATTTATCTGATTTTTTCATCATTTATCGATCATACTTGATTTTCGTTCTTTTTTCACTCATTTTTCCTTCGTTTAATTTGTTTTTATTTTTCATTTTTTCTTTTCTTCCTCCATCTTACTTTCTTCTTTTACTTCCGTTTTCATCTTTCTTTCATTTCCCTCCCTCTCTTTCTGTTTTTCTTTCATTTTCTGTCTGTCTGTTTCTTTTTTCATTCTTTCTTTTGCCTCTTTTTTCTATCCAATGATATCTTTCTTGCTCCATATAGTGTTCCGCCATTTTTCATTGTGTGAAATGTTTTCCGCTGATATTTTTTACTTCATTTTTATACTCTGTCATCTTTTCATTAAATACATCATTCCACCCCTTCCTTCCTTCCTTCCTTCCTTCCTTCCATCCTTCCGCAATTTTTAATTTTAATTTGCCCCTTCCAAAATATTCCCGTCTAATTGCAACTCTTTTCATCCGACCAGCCAGTCATTAATTCCACTCGACTGATTTCATCCGTTCGACAATCGCTTAGACACGCAAGGCGAAACTTCAAAACTACCATACAGTATTAACCGGCCAAAAATGCCCACAAAAAAAAGAAAGAAAAAAAAAAGACAAAGAGCTGGGATATTTTTTTTTCAGTTTTATTCTATAAATTGTTTTTTTTTCTTCACCTAAATTGAAAAATAAGGAAAAATAAACAATATGGCCGTTTTAATCAATAGACACTTTCAAAGTTTGTCGACGAACGATTTCTTTTTTTTTTTTTTCTCCTATTAAGGGGTAAAACCCATGAAAAAAAAAGTTGATTTTCAATGTTTTTATGTTAGACAACTAACATCACTTCTTAGCAAATAACATAAAAAAAAAACTTTCCAATCAAAATCGCACTTGAAAATACGCACATACCACTGAGATTTTTTCAGTAGGTACTAACACACGCACACACATTTTTTCAGTAGGTACTAATAGCCAAACACACGCACCCACACACACATACATTTTTGTTTCTACCTATGCTCTGTCTTAATTTACCCAAGTTGGAACGAATTCTTTTCTTTCTATGTACCGTGTGCTTTCAGGACTCTCCGCTTCCCTCTATCCCTTGCAGCTCTCAACAAGAGTCGTCCCTTTGCAACCTCCCCCAGATCACATTCTGCCATCCACTTGCTAGGTATGGCATCTATTGCTTTCCCTTGTCTCTCTTTCTCTCTATTCGACCTGTGAGTATCATATTCTCCGAGCCCTCCTTTCACATTACGTGTCCCAGAAATTTCAGCTGCCTTTTCCTGATATTAA